CTAGCCTTATTAAGATCATGATCTTGGCTTTATTTGAGTTTATATTTGCCTGGTGTGCCTTTGCGTATCCTTTTATTTTAAAACTCTTGAATTAATTTGTTTTAGGTGTGTCTCTTACATAGAGTATAGAGCTGAGTTTTAATTTACCCAGTTTGAACATCTGTGTTTGTCCACAAATGATTTAGGCATGTTTACAATAGTTTATAGAACAAATATGTTTGTCTTGGTGCTGTCATATTATTTTATGTTCTCAGTTCTTATCGTTCCTGACCTGTCATCAACGTGTGGCACAGCTCCTCCTTGATTCATGCTCTTCACTTGTTTTGGAGACACCCCCTCTTCCTATTCTCTTGGTTTACCTCCCGTTTCGCTGGCCAGTCTTTCCCAAGCTCTTTTGCTGTTTTCTTCTCTTATCTCAACCTCTTACTTCCGGAGTTAAGGACCAGGGCTCAGTCCTTGGATCTCTTCTCTTCTCTAACTGCACCTGCTCCTCCGGTGAGCCTATCCAGTCTCGCAGCTTCAAATATCTTCTCTGTGCTGACAACTTGCAAGTTCGGTACTTTTAGCTGTGACCTTTCTCTTCAATGCCAGAGGCCGATATTCCAACTCAGATTTCCAAAAGGCATCTCAAACCCAATGTGTCCAAGATAAGATTCCTGACTCTCCTTCACACCTGCTCCTCCCGCAGTCTTCCCTGGGGAACTCACTCTCAGTTAGCGACAATGCTATCGCTTGACTCCTCCTTTTCTCATACTTTACATCAAATATATCATCAATTCCTGAGAACTCTACCTTCAAAATTTTTCTAGAATCCAATTCCACTTCACTGCTACTACCCTTGTACAATCCATCTCTTGCCTCAATTATTGCAATAGTTAACTTCCATCCTTGTCCCTCTGCTGTGTATTCTCAACACAGACGCCTGAGAGATCCTGTTAAGATAGGAGTCAGATAACATCACTCATCTCCTCAGAATTCCCCCATGGCTTCCCGTTTCTCTCAGAGTAAGAGCTAAATAAGGAAACCTATTAACAAAATTTACTATTGCGAAGAAAAAAATCACATGAATATCTCCATAGATGATGAAAAAGCATGCAAGAAGATTCAGCATTCATCTTTGGTAAGTAAAAAACCTTCAATAAAAAAGAATTAACGGATTCTTATTTAATGACGAAATATATTCATCTCAAACCCAAAGTCAAGCTCCTACTTGCTGAGTAAACACCAGAAGCATTTCTTTAATGTCAGAAACAAGGCAAGAAAGAGGGAAAATTACAATTATTTTCAGATTATGTGACTGTAAACTTGGAAATCTTAAGGGAATCAACTGATATGAACTGTAAGAGATTTTATTCTGGGTGTAAAATTAACATACAGAAATGAATGTTCATATAACAGGTAACAATGAAATAGAAGCTATAATGGAAGAAAAGTTCTCATTTACACTAGTGATGAGAAAGGTAAACTACTTAGGAATAAACCTCATAAGAAATGGGTGAGATTTATGTGAAGATCGCTGGGTATAGGGGTTGGAAGTCTAAAAATAACATCAGGCTCTCTAGTTAGATGCAATCACTTGAAATCGGGTAGGTGGAATTTAGGAAACCATCTTCCTGTGGCTTCTGGCCTTTCCACGGGAGAGGAAGGTTGTGGTTTCTTTGCAGCAAGTTCCAATATTTATTCTCAAGTTTTCTGGGTGTCAAGAAGCAGTAGTGGTTGTGGCAGCCTCTTGATCCTACTCTGAAATCCCTAGCTCACAGGTTTAGGTGTCCATTCCTTACATTCAGGCACTGACTATGGCTCCAGTCCTGGCATGCACATATTTGATATTGGAAGTGGTTGCAGGAACCAGGCCCTTAAGATGGGAATCTGGGATTGGATCTGACCTGGATAGGTTTGAAGACAATGGTGACCTTGCCATGAGTGGAAAATGGGATACTACGAATCCAGGGCATGCAGTGGAAAGAGTTACGTAAATGATCACCTATGGGCCCTGGAACGAACAGTTTACAGAAAGTGAGGCTTCTGTGGCTGCTACACTAGACAGTTATGATGGGAATAAGGGATTCAAGAACTGTCGGAGTGGGTTGGCCTTTTCTGACTATATTGGAGAGTTTAAAGAAAGAAAAGGATATATTGTAAAAGTCCAAAAATACAGAAGTTAATTTCATATATGTTAATGGCGGCATTTAAAATCAGTATCGGAAAGATGGATTATTAAGTAAATGAGATCGAGCAAATGTCTAACACCAAGATACAAAGTAAAGTTGGATCTATTCTACTTAACTCACATCAAAACAAACTTTGTAATGGTCAAATTTTAAAAGAAAAAAGTAAAAGCATGAAATGTTAAGAAGAAACCATGAAAGGATTTTCAAAGTAATCTAAGAGAGGTGAAAGCCTTTCTAAGTATTATGTAACCTAGAAGTAGTAAGGAGGAAAAGAAAAGTTTGTAAAATTGACTAGTCAGATACGAAAAACATCTGCAAGGCCAAAAACAAAATAAAGAAGCAAATAAACAAAACAGCATAAGAAAAGTCAAAAGACCTGACAAACCGAGAAAAAGTTTTGAGAAGAATATCTAAGAAAAGGACTATTTTTACTCTTGTATAAAGCATTTCTATATCCAGTAGAAACTTGGGCAAAATATGTAAATAGATAATTCAAGGAAAATAAAATACAAATGTCTCTTCATTGCTCATAATAGGAGAAATACAAATTAAAACACTTTTTCATCCATCAGATTGATAAATTCCAGTTCTAGCAAAATGGAGTAAGTCCACTACAGCCGATGCCCCCCACTAATTACTACTAAAACCACTGGATGAAATATGAAAAACAACTTCCCAAGGACTCTGAAAAGTAAATAATAGCAGGTGGATTGGGTATGGAACTCAAAACTTAAAGAAAGACCAGTATGGTGGTGGTGAGATTCCCTTTTGTTTTTGTTTTTTTTTCTGCTTTACCTTGGCTTTGACTGGAGGGCAGGCTGAATTGAAGCTGCCTACCAGGCACTACCAGCAAAAAGTCCAGAGAAGCCTGACCATAATAGCCCCAGAGCCAGGAAAAAAAGCTGCTACAAGCTGGAGAAAGTGATAAAAACTCCTGATTGTTTTTCCTTCTCTCTCCTCTGTCCTGAGGCCAGTCCCAGTTACAAAGCTGCACTGCTACAATACAGTGACATGGATGACTGAGGCCCCCAGAGAAAACTTGTCCCTCTGGACAGAGGAAATGGGAAGAGGGACCCTTGTGCAAAGAGTATGGGGAGAATCCCTATTACTTTTTTCTCTCTCTTTTCCCTCAACACTGCCCCGAGGGTAGCCCCAGTTGCACAGAACTACACAACAGATAGAAAGCATCAACAAATAAGAGGCATAAACTGCAAGTGAAGCAATAAGTTTATTTGGGGTCTCAAGAATTGCAATACGGGAGACACAGATTGGGGTAGAAGCTCAAATGTGCTCCTATTATAGGAGAGGACTCAGGGTTTTTATGAGACAAAGGGAGGCAGATGAGGTAAGTCGTATTACGGAAAAATTCATTAGATGCTAGATGTGGTAAGGCTAGGCTTTACTTCATTTATTGGTTAGCGATTTGGTCATCAGCAAAGTCCAGTTTTATCAGTCCTCACAAAAAGGATATCCTTGTCCTTGCTGACTTCTTGGAATGTTGATGGTTTGGTCCAGTTGGAAGATAAAGAACACAAGATGTGCAAGGCAATTCCTCTGAAATGACTTTTAATATGGCCCCACTCATGTCATCTTTCACAAAAGCACAGGAAACTCCAAGAGAACTCTATCTTTCTGGCCAAAAGAACTGGGAAAGGGGGGGTCCTGGGAGCCAGAGAATATGAAGGAAATCTGCCCTTGTGAAGTTTACATTCTAGGGAGAGACTGACAATAAACATAATAATATAAAACGTTAGGTGATGAGTGCTGTGGAAAAAAGAAACAGGAGAGCAGGTAAGAGAGATGGCGGGGTGGGGAGGAGAGCAGGTATTAAATAAGATAGTCAGAAAGGGCCTCATGTGAGAAGGTGGGATTCAATTTCCTTGAGGGAGACGAGGAAGTAAACCACCTCCACAATTAACAAAGAGCTTTCTAGGCAGAGGGAACAGCCAGGACAGCAATGACCCCAGGCGGGAAGTGAGAGGATGTCTGATGAGTTCCAGGAAAAGCAAGGAGATCAATGGGGCTGGTGCGCACGAAAGAGAAAAGTGAAAGAGGTTTTCAGACAGGTAAGCGGGGCGGGGCTGAGGACCCTAGAGACCTCGGTAAGGAATTCGGCTTTATTGGATGGGAGGTTTTAACAAGAAATAGGATTTGGGTTTTTCACTAGCTGAAAGTGAGTTACAACTAAAATGAGACTTGTTCTTATATGTGGAAGTGACAAGAAAATTGTATTCTGGACCTTAAGGGACGGAAAACGGAGAAACACGAAGATGCATATTGTTTTCCCAACCGCTCTTCTAGGCGCTACCCCCTCTCGGTGCGCCAGCCCAGCGAGGCCCCGCCTCCCCCACTTTGGCCCCGCCCACTCGGAGCGACAGTCCAGCGAGGCCCCGCCTCCCCAACCGTGGCCCCGCCCCCACTTGGAGTGACAGCCCATAAGGCACGCCTCTCCCTTCTCCGGCTCCGCTCCCACTCCAGGCGACAGCCCAGCTAGGTCCGTCTCTCGTTTCTCCGGAACCGTCCCTGTCGCATCCCGTGCCCGTTCCGCTAGGCCCCGCTCCCGCTCAGTGCGACACTGCGCTTGGGCCCCGCCTCCCCCGCCACGGTCCCGCCCCCGCCCGCGCGCTGTCACGTTATCGCGCCCCGCAGGCCCCGGCCCGCCCCCTGTCGAGCGTCCGCTGGCCCGGCCTCCAGGTCTCGCCGGCTCTCGGACCCGCCCCCGAAGACGTGGAGCGCCGCGGCGCCTGGTGAGTGGGCCCGGGAGACGCCCGACCCTTTCACTTTCCCCGGCCCAGAGCCTGGTTTCTTGCGGGTGCCTGAGCCCGGGCTAACTGCTGGGGGCGGGACGCCTCCTGGGACTCCTCCCGGCCGGCGCCCTTCCTTCCCAGGGTACCTCCCGGTGCTGGCAATCCCAGGAATGGGGAAGTGGGACCGGGATGGGCGCAGAGGTTCGGGCTGTTCAGGTGGGAGAGGGAGGAGTAAAGGTGATGGGGGGAATGCTAGTCGCGGGTGGGGTCTAGGGGGAGCCGAGGTTTGGGGAGGGTATGTGGTCTGGAGGTGGCGGGTTGAGTGATGGGAGAGATGTGGTAAGGCCGAAACCTGGGGCTGGTGGAGTCAGGATCGGGGGCGGGGGTGGTTTGGGGGAGCTTCGGAGCTATGGGGAGGGAGGTCGTGAGTGGGGGTGGAGGTGGCGGCGAAACACAGTGAAGGGCGTTTTTTGGAAGGACCAGCACAACAGAGGCCCATGATTCACGCTTCCCTTGACGCTCCGGGGAGCAGGGAAGGTTAGGGTGCCTCCGAACGGGTGTGGCCGGAGCGAGCTTGCGGGGTAACGCTCTATCTCACATCAGGGGGAATGGATTTCCAGTCTTTTGACTGGGACACATGTACAGTTTAAGTAATAGATGCAAGTCAGGGGCAGTGCCTGGGACACTGGAGAAATGTGGTTGGAATGGGGTTCGCCTCCTATAGGCTGCTTCTAATTTTCCTGGTGCCTTCACAGCACCAGCGTTAGTGTGCGCTGTCTTGTGTAAAGCCCTATTCCCGCAGCCGAGACAGGGTATGGAGGTCCCAGACTTAAAAAGTACAGTTGAGATTTATTCAGACTCAAAACACAGTTGTATCGCATTTGCTTAAATCCTGCAGAGTTTTAATTTTTAAAAATCTAATCCTGTGGGGTTTAAAAAAAATTAAGTATTATCTGATTACTTTCAATTTAGATTCACACTAACCTAGAGCACTAGACGTTTTCTAAGGGCCGTTCTGTGAGTATGATAAACACTTTTATATTAACTGTGGAAGGTAGATCATAGGTATTCTGACCAGCCATAGCTGAAAGTATCATAGAATTGCAGATGAAGAATGAAATTTCAAAGCTCTAAAATAATGGAAAGAGGTAGAAAAGGCCTGGTAAAATCCAGTGAAACTTTTTTTTCATTGTAGAAAACTTGAAAGATAGAAAAGTATAAGGATGAAAATTGAAACCCATGTAATTTCACCAATCATCCTCACAGTTTGATGCAGTTCTTTTAAATTCCCTTTGTAATTTTTGTGTATTGAAAGGTACATATTGCATAACTGGGGTCATATTGTTATATTACTTTGTATTTTGCTTTTTTCCCCCTGCTCAATATTTTCTTGCTTAGCATTTTCCTGGATCATTAAAAATTCTCCTTAAACATCGTTTTACAATAGTTCATTCTTTTATCCCATATTAGAGTTTCAGCTATGTGTCAAGTCCTGTGCTTGAGGTGAGATTCAGTTTTGCTCCAGGTACATACACTTCTCAAGTGCTTAAATGGCAGCTGGGGGAGACTTTATCAGCCTGTCCTCATCTGCTAGACATTTAAAATGTCTCTAGTTTTTTGCTTTTATAAACAATAAAATCTTTGTTTTTGAGGGTTATCAGTTCAGAATAAGTGTAGTGTCATGTGAGTCCAAAGCTATTATTTTTAATGTATATGGGTTTTTGTGTGTGTGTGTGTTAGAGAATAGGGAATCTTTTTGGATGGGAATCTTTTTGTGTGTGTGTATGGAAGATTAGCCCTGAGCTAACATCCGCCACCAATCCTCCTCTTTTTCCTGAGGAAGATTGACCCTGAGCTAACATCCACGCTCATCTTCCTCTAACTTATATGTGGGATGCCTGTCACAGGACGCCTTGATAAGTGGTGGTAGGTCCGTGCCGGAATCTGGACCAGTGAATGTGGGGCCACCAGAACCAGCGGGAGAACTTAACGCTCCTTCACCGGCCAGACTGGGGGAATCTTTTTTTTACCTTTTTATTTTGAAATAATTTTAGGTTTACAAAAAAGTTGCAAAAATAGTACAGAGTTCCCGTTTGCCCTTCACCTAGCTTCCCCAAAACTTAACATCTTAAGTAACCATGGTATAATTTCTGAAACCAGGAAATTTACATTGGTACAGTTCTATTAAGTTGCTTATTGACCATATTCAGATTTCACTAATTGTCCTGCTAATGTCCAAGTTCCAGTCCAGGATCCTACATTGCATTTAGTGTTAAATGACCTCCTTTAATCTGGGCGCCATCCTAAATAGGATGACCTGGTGCAGACTTGTGAAGTAGAGCAAGCCTGTTAGAAAGCATACATCTTCCCTAACTGCGTATCCAAAACCCTGCATCTTAGAAGAGCACATTTGTCTTCCTTTGCAGTATAAGTAGACTACTGTTGCGTTAAATTATGTCATCAATAAGGTGCCTTTTTAACCTGTTATACATCATTTCTAAATCATCGAGGAGTTACAGAATAGAAGGAGTGATCCAAGCAATCCATGCTCATTACTCCTTTTATTAGGCTATGAATTGGCAATGGGAATATCTCAAAAGCAGAAAGCCAAATGCTGATTCCTGTCTCTGCATATTTTGGAGGAAAGGGTAATGACTTGGTTTAGCGTGACCAGCTTGTCACACTTTTAAAACCCCTCGGTGCAGGGCAACCTTTCCTCCACCCCTCTAGCATTTGTTCTAAGAAATCACAGTACATTTCAGACATTATGCCAGCCAAAAGAAACAAAATCTTGGCAGTATCTGGGGGAACAAGAGTAGACAGAAAGCATGAGTGAGAGGAGGACATATTTTGGTTTCGCCTCACTGGGCAGTCCATGGCAAGACTCAGTTGGGTGATTCTGTGCAGAAGTGGCCTTCCGTCCATGCAGCATCTAGTCAGGCCTGTGCCTGGCTGCTGTGGCCAGGCTTCTTCAGTATGCCGTGTCTCATCTCTCCTCCATCTTTCTGTGGAGTCCTGAGGCCACGAGGTTCCCAGATAGATCCTCCGCGAATGGGCCTCACCAGCTTCCCTACGTGGTTAGTGTCACTGAGAACCTCTCTAGTGGGGTGGGTGCTATGTAAAAGCCGCGTGAATCTAATTTCTTTGTAGGTCTCTCTTTGGCCCTGTATGCAGTTCAACCCATGATAAAGAACAGAATTTGGGATGGCTGTCTACTGATCCTGTGCCCCAGGGCTTATGTAGAACCTGGCTACTCTGTGCCTTATAGTCATTCCTGGCTGCTGTCCTGGCTGACAGTCTGGATAAAAGAGGGAACTTGGCTGTGGTAGCAGAAATCATTCTACCTTGTAGTGTCCAATAAGTCTGTATGTGTTGAATCGTTGCATATTTTTAGATTGGCCCCAACTGGAACCATAAAGCCCTCTTCTGTACCTACACTTAAAGCCCTCATGTCCCCCCATCTGGTATCTTGGTCTCACGTACTAGTATAAGTGTGCATGGTGATGGCAGAGCAAGCTCCTGTTAAGATCCTCTGGTAAAAGTAGATTGCAGAACTCAGCTGAAGCCAAGGCTGCCATGAGGCTTCTTAATTTCGCCACCTTACACTTGGTATTCATGCCATTGGGCCAGCCAAGGGGGAGAAGTGGGGTTAGAGGAGGCCTGGATTCCACTGACCAGTGAACTGCAACATTGAAAATCTGCCTTACCTGCACCCTCCTGCATGCGGAACACAGAGGGTGGGCAACCCCAAGGAGAGGGCAGCCCCAGAGGGGTGATTGTCCAGTGACAAGTTCCCTGAGCAGGGGAGTCACACTTTGCGTTTTTTACCTCACAATGTGTTATGAGATGTTCTCCCTGTTTGTATAGTTGGATCTGTATCTTAGTAGGAATGCTTCTATTATAAAGTTGTGTCTTACTTTATTTAGCCAATCTGTTGTTGGACTTTCAGGTTGTAAGTTGTTTCTTTCCTGTAAGTAAGCAGGTAAATAAGCAAATAAGTACAGCTATAATGAACTTCTGTATACAAATTTGGTTTAATTATCTTCTTGGGATAAATTCCAAAAATAAATAAGAAGGAAAGAAAGGAAAAAGGAAAACCATAATGAACTTCTTCTATATGCATATTTGATTTTATTATCTTCTTGGCATAAATTCCTAGAAATACCATTGTTATGTTGAATGGTATGAGTTTTTAATGTTACTTTTCATATTGCCACTCTGCTTTCTGGAAAGGTGGTATCAAAATGACAACATCTGTCAGCAGTGTGTGCAAATGCCTGATTTCCTACACCTATGCCAGAACGGGGTTTTGTCCATCTTTCAACTTTGGCAAATCTGCAAAGGGAAAAGTATCTCATTGTTACATTGCATTTCTTTTGTTAGTAACTTTGAACATCTTCTCAAATGTATCCTGGCCACTTGTATTTGTTCTTGTGTGACTTGTGATTTCAGTTTTTTGAAATTTTTTTTGGTGATTTGTAAGAACCTCTTGTATAGCAGAGATAGTGACCCCCCCTTTTTTTTTTGGTGAGGAAGATTGGCCCTAAGCAAACATCTGTGCCAGTCTTCCCCCATTTTGTATGTGGGATGTTGCCACATATGGCTTGATGAGCGGTGAGTAGGTTCCCGCCTGGGATCCAAACCTGAGAACCCAGGGCTGCTGAAGCAGAGCAAACGAACTTAACCACTATGCCACCAGGCTGACCCCAGGGATAGTGACACTTTCCTCTGCACTACATTGGAAATCTTGTTATGGGTGTACATTGAGTAATGAAAGGCATGTAGCATCTCAAATGAGAATAAATCAATGAGCAAATATTTATTGTGAATTTCTAGATAGTGCTCATATACATGTTTAGAACTGAAACCTGCTTGTAGTGTCTCAGAAAGATTGTTTTTTGGTCTGGAAATTGTGAATAAGATGGGCCTTTTATTGGTCACATCAGGCAATGCATAAATGCTAACAAACTGTGACCTTTGTTGCATGGCCACGCATGCTCTACTGAACGCTTTATTGTTCCCTTAACCTAACCATTCTTTCCTCCTTTGGTATTTCTTCACTCACAGTCCGTTCTTCCCATGTCTTAGGTTGGAAACCTTGGAGTCATCCATGTGTCTTTTCCAAGTTGAAGGCTGTCTGGTTCTCAGCCTCCCTTCCCAGAAAGTTAATTCCCCCTCTTCAGGCTGCCCCTCCCTCTTGGGTTATTGCTCTTGTACTTAGCCCGTGTGTTAGAATGATTTGATTAACACCTGCTTCTGCTCTTACACTCGACCTCAAAAGCAAGAGGTAGACCTTATTTACGTTTGTACTTTCAGATTCTCTGACGACTTGGCTCATAAATGATAAATGTTTGTTGTATTTGATATTTCCATCTGAAAAGTGATGATGCTAAGCCTCTATAGTCTACTGGTAGATTAACATTTTTTCCAAAATTTCTGTTATAAAAAATTTCAGAAGTTTTGGGGAGTTGAAAGAATACCGTGAAGAACATGCGTATTCTTGCCTCTTAGTTTTGCCTGTTGAGATTCATATCACTCTGACACACAACTAATACTCTGCTCAGAAACCCATAGTGACTTCTTACTGGCCAAAGGTTAGATGTAAAGTGTAGCCTTTGTTATCCTTACATGGTCACAGCTTGCACAGTTTTGCCCCTCTGCTCTGGTCAGGTCAGTCTCATTGTTCTTCTCTTATGCTGTCTTTACTCTTGCTTCACTGACTTTACATGTGTTATTTCCCAGTGTAGACCATGCTTCTCTCTTTGTTTGATCGAAATCTTTTACACATTAAGTGTTCTGAGTTCCCGTAGCTCTGATTGCTCTCTGTTATTCTTTCATTCTGTATAATTCCGGGCCACATTATTAGGTATTTGGAGGTGAGCTCCAGGTCCTACTTTGATCTGATTTCCTTCATAGAGCCTAGCATGCTGACACTTGATTTGGCTGGTATCTTTAAATAGCATTCCTGATGTATTTGTAGTATAATTTGAATCCAGCATTGATTTAGAATACCTATGTTGCCCCATACAAACCTTATACTCTGTTAGAGAAAAACAAAAACTGACCAGTCCCTCTGCTTCATCAGCTTGCTGCAAGATGGTGATTTCCCTAAAGGAAGGAAAGATGTTCTGTGGTGTTGGTTGCTCCTTTTGTGATTGTTCCCAAGAATTGATTTGCACTTGTGCTTTGGAGTCATTAAAACTTCCATCAAGTACTAAGTTAGAGTAAATAAGTCTAAAGTCTGAAAATTACCCCTGTTGAGAATCACTGTTAGAGTCACGTGAGAAATCTTTTAGAGAAAGGCCACAGGCCTTAGTAATGATGCCTTTTGTGGGTCTCCAACATTTTTCAAGCTTGTGTCTACGAAAATAATCCATAACCAATCTATAAATGAAAATTTGGGTGAGTTTATTCTCAGCTTAAATCTGAGGATTATAACCTGGGGCCTTTCTTCCCAAAGGAAGAAAGGGCACCAAAGAAGTGGGGTGCACAGAGTGGTTATACACCCCCAGAGAGGATGTTTCACATAGGATTGAAATGTCCCTTTTACAGTAGTTGCCAGACTGCTCTGTCGGCACAGCGATTGATGGAAACAGCAGGTAGGTCTTCTGTCTCAGTGAACACAGCAGGGTGGCAGTCTGTTGTCTCCAGCTGAGTGGTCACAGGTGAGCTGGGTGGTCAAAGGTGATTGCAGCAATCAGTTCCTAGCCTAAGGAAAAATGCTTATCCCTAAGGAAATGCTAATGTCGGGGGAAGTTGCACCTTTATCTCAGGGGCCTTTGTTCTGGCCATAGGAAATGTCTAAGCAGATATGCAATGCGTGCTCAATAGCCACAGTCAGGCCCTTTTGGAAAAAACAAAGTCAGGCCGAATTAGGTTTATACCAAATGGCTTCCTCATATACTCCAATATCCTATTGCTTGCCATTTTTATTTGTCACTTGGGAATGGAGATAAAGATGATATCCTTGAGAGAGAGAAACCAGGAAAGCAAGCTGGTGCTGGGAGATCAGCTCCATGCTGAAACATGCGATTGGCCTGTGCCGGTTGCCTGCTCATAATGAATTGGCAACTCCCATTGTTCACTGGACAAAGCCCAGTTCCCTTGCTCCCAGGGGCCCTGGTTAGATTCTAGCTCACTCCCATCCTCATTTCCTCCATGCATAGTTAATCCTTCAGCCATACCAAACTACTTGTATTGTTCTGAGCCTGTTGGCTATTTTCCATCATTATTTTGTAGGGGATACTATTTCCTCTATTTAGAATGCCATCGATTGTCTGTCTGGCAAACTAATTCATTTTCCTAAATCGTGTTCAGGTGTCACATCCTTTGTAAATACTCTTTTACTCCTCCTGTGTGAGAGCACATTTGACACTGCTGTCCTTCACTTACCTGGATGTCCCCCCTGCTGTATTCTGAGCTGGTTACGGAAAAGGATGATGTTCTGTTGGTCTTAATACAGGACCTAGCTAGCACAGGTGCTTTGAACCATTGGTTGAGCCTGCCATATAACCCATGTGGATCATGAGAAATTTTCTTTTATCTTGGAGCCAGAATTAGGTGTAATTAAGAGAGATGCAAATATAGTCCATATTTTTCTCTTTTCCATAATAACCTATGTTTGCTTTTTATTTTTTTAAATTTTCAGCAAGTTTGTCAAAGATGAAAGTGACCTTATCAGCTTTGGATACTTTCGAGAGTTCTTTCACACCTTTGGTAGTCATAGAGCTTGTGCAGGATGTCAAAGAAGAAACCAAAGAATGGCTGAAAAATAGAATTATCGCTAAAAAGAAAGATGGAGGTGAGTAAAATAAATAATACTCAGACTTAATCATGCTCAGTGACTACAAATGTATTTTCAAATGTGTTTTACAGTTTTTTTCACTGATATGTTTTTAAAATTAATGTCCATTTCTTGGCTCTTTGTAATTTATCTAGGACTTGAAAGGAGCTATTAAATCGGCATTAGACTGTAAGCAACATGAGTGATTTTGTTCACAGCTGTAAACTCTGCTGAGCACAGAGCCTGGTGCATAGTAGGTGTTTAATAAATATTTATCAAATGAATGAAGAAGTATCTATTGAGTGTTCTTTGTGTGTCAGTTATGGTGCTAAGGGAGAGGGAAAGCCAGTCTGCCCGCAAGGATGTTACCGTCAGGGTAAGGAGACTGAGTGTTAGTGCGTGGAAATTGAAGTGACAGAAAAAAAAAGTGAAAGAGCTGGCACAAAGCAGTGCATGATACTTGTAAGTGAATCGTATGCATATTTGCTATAAAAATAGAGAGAAGAAAGAGGTGACACTTTGGTGATGCTTTTTGGGCTGGCAAGGGATGACTTTAAAGAAGAAGCCAAAGTTTAACCTTCTCCTGAAGGGCGGGAAGGGGTCTAGATTTGGGTGAGAGGACGAACATTTTATATGAGCAGACACTTCATGAAAGTACATAAAACAACATCTAAAACTTCAGTGTGTCTCCAAACACTGGACCAAACTTAGGTTCTTTTTAAAAAAGATTTTTGAGGGGCCAGCCTGGTGGTGTAGAGCACTCTGCTTCGGTGGCCTGGGGTTCACAGGTTGGATTCTGGGCACGGACCTGTGTACTCTTCATCAGGCCATGCTATGGTGGCATCCCACATACAAAATAGAGGAAGCTTGGCGCAGAAATTAGCTCAGTGACAATCTTCCTCAAGCAAAAAGAACAAAAAAAAGGATTTTGGCTGTTAACTGAAATACTTTCCTAAAAATAGAACTTTGAATCAAAGTGGAATTTTTAATTTTTCTAAAAAGAATTGACCCAAAAGAAACTTAAAAACAAGTATACCTACTTGCTGAACTCTGAGATGTTTTGCTGGACCAGAGTTCCTTCTTTAAAATTCCTGTGGCGTAAGAACACTTTCAGTGTCTTAGACTGAGAGAGTCCAGTGTATCCTAGGCTGCTTCTCTGCTCATTCTGTGGCTTTAGCAGGACACACAAGGATGGGGAGGGCATCGACATCTCCCTACACTGCAGGACAGTCATAAAAGAACATTCCAAAAAAAGTCTTCTGCATCTTTCAGGCAAAGGTAGTAGTGGATTTAACGTGCGTGTTTATTTTTATTCTCTTCCAAATTCCTATTAAAGTGACAAAAGATTTTTTTTTAAAGATGTAAATCCACACTGACAAAGAAGAAAGGAGAAGATATAACAGCAGCACCAATTGAAAGCTAGAAAATAAGTGGATGAGTTGTAAAGAACTTCTCAGACTTGAGAAAGCCAAAGCTGCAGCTGGCAGGAACGAAAATTGAGATGCGCTTTAGTTTGCACTGCAACATACTCCTAAAGACTCGGGAATCAGTGACTCTTGGGGGAGGTGGAAATAAAAGTGGTACTAAGCAAAATAAAAGAATTTGCTGAAATCTATTTAAGAAATAGTTAGGGGCTGGCCTGGTGGCGCAGTGGTTAAGTGCGCATGTTCCGCTTCATCAGAGCGGGGTTCGCCGGTTTGGATCCTGGGTGCGGACATGGCACCACTTGTCAAGCCATGCTGTGGCAGGCGTCCCACATATAAAGCAGAGGAAGATGGGCACAGATGTTAGCTCAGGGCCAGTCTTCCTCAGTAAAAAGAGGAGGATTGGCAGCAGATGTTAGCTCAGGGCTAATCTTCCTCAAAAAAAAAGGAAAGAAATAGTTAGATCCTCAGATCCCTTCCAGGTTCTGCCACCCCAGCAGAAGGCTCTGCTTATTATTCTCTCAGAGGGTCAGATGCATGGATTTTGGTGTGGGGGTTCTGTGCACAGTTGAAAACAGAAAATAGGCTACTTAAAATAGGGTGATAACTGAATATTGTCACCCCTATCCTCCACCCCACCAGTCTCACATCTAATTTAGTTTCCAAAATGTTAGCAGCTAGATTCGAATCTAGGGAAGGAGGTTGGATAATCTTTCTTTAGGGAATCTGACCAACTCAAGACAAAATAACCAAAGGTGCAGAAATCAGAGAGTTGCCCATGGAAATGACCTGGCCAGACTACCTTGTGTTAAAGGCGTTCTTTGATGAGCGCCGTCTGAGCCTTCAGAACTTCTGTTTAGCTTCTTAGAAGCCCTTTGTTGAACAGGAGCCTACAACGAAAGATCACGAGGCATCTGAGGAGAGCCCCTACCATGAAAGAGAAAGCTAAAACCAAACAACAGACAAAAGAAGCAAACTACACAGGAGGGGAAAACCAAAAGAGAATTAAAACTCACTTCTCAGAGTTATGAGAAGATAGAACATCTCTACATCAAGAGTCGGATATTATAAAATAATCATTTAGGAAAAAAAGCAGCTCTTATAAAATGAAAATATGAAAGCAACACTTAAACTCAGTAAAAGAATTAGAAGATAATTTTGGCAAAAACCTCCAAGAAAGTAGAGCAAAAACGTAAAGAATTGGAAAATATGAGAGAAAAAATAAGGAAAATAGAAAACTAGTCCAGAGGTTACACATCTGAATAAAAGGAGTTCTAGAAAGGGAACAGAGGAAAAGGAGAAGAAATCACCCAAGAAAATCTCCAGGCTGATGCCACCGTTTTTCAGATTGAAAGGGCCCACTCAGTGCCCAGCACTGTGGGTGAAAATCGCGCATCATTGGAAAGTTTCAGACCTCTGGGGACGGAGTTTCTTCCAGGAAAAAGACAATAGGTCAAATATAAAAGATCAGACTTCTTAACAGAAACCTTGGAAACGAGAAGTCAGTGGTGTAACATCTTCATTTCTGAAGGAAAATGGTTTCAATCTAGAATTTTGAACCCATCCAGCTGCCAACAAGGTGTGAGGGCAGAGCAAAGCGAGATTTCACTAAGATGCTGATGTTGATAGGATTTCTCTCGTGTCAGTGAGTTGAGGGAAGACTTAAACATTGGCAGAAAGCTTGGGGGATTGACTTACCAGTAAATACGTAACAAACTAAGCAAATGGTGGAATAAGACAGTTAACAGTTTAGAGGGAAAAGGAAAGTTGTAGGAAAGGAAAATCACAGCGTACCGTAAGGCTCAGTTATAAATAACATGTCATAATAATGAAAAGGATGATATAACTAGATTGTGAGATTGGGGCGATGGGAATGGTGGATGGAGATGCTGAAGGTGGGCAGAAAAGAGCTAAATCCTCATTTGCCAAGGCTTAAAACTGAAAAGTGAAGAAATAGCTCTATAGGCGTGTTGTTTGGTGACATGACAACAAATAATGGGAAGTTGTTATTGCTGAACAATTTGAAAGTCGTTGCCTCTGGGAAGGTAAAGTGGCGGAAGGGAGATGGGGACTGCACCTTTTCAAAATGAGATATTGACAAATGGTTCTGTGTGAAGGTTACACCAATTTATACTCCCCTGGGAATGTCTGAGTACCTTTCCCCACACCCTCACTGTGTCAGTTTGGGTCTTCTCAGCAAGAGATGCCAAGATGGGATTTGATGCACAAGAGGTTTATTGAGGGAAACGTTTGTAGAAAGGTAAAGGGGGAGGAGGAGTAGACAGAGAGAGCCTTCAGACTGTGGTATAGGTCTGACACTTGTGAAAGGAGAGGAAAGGAAGGAGGCTTGAACAGGACAGTTCTGAGAAAGGATGAGCCAGGCCCAGCATTGCCCTTTAGAGGAAACCTGTGTTGAGCAGGAATGGCCTTATTCCAGTGTCCCCTGCATGCTCAGCCAATGAGCGGGAGCAGCTAGGGGAGTATGGTGTAAGTGTGAAGGTGCTGTATTCAAAGGAGGCAGGTGTCAGTCAGCTCTGCTCCTCGCATCAGATTCTGTTGAAGGGAGATCTGGATGGAGTGGGGCACTTCCATGGCTACTAAGCACACCAACCTATTGGTTATCAAACTTTTGATCTTTGCAGTGTGAGAAGTGAAAAATATCATATTAGTGTCGTTTTTGCACTTACCTTACTATGAATGAAGTTAAGGATTTTATATTTAAGAGCTGTTTGTATTTTCTGTACAATCATGCATCGCCTCCTGACGGGGATACGTTCTGAGAAACTCGTCATTAAATGATTTTGTCATTGTGTGAACATCAGAGTGTGCTTACACAAACCTGGGTGGTATAGCCTACTACACACCTAGACTATCTAGTACTAATTTTATGGAACCACTGTCGTGTGTGTGGTCTATTGTTAACCGAAATGTCATTATGCAGCACCTGACTATAAACTGAATATATCTTTTATTTTTTATTAAAGACTTTAATACCTCTATTGTAAATTACCTAAATGGTAGTGCCATAAAACATTAATCTTAATATATTAATCCATTTGGCAAGTGAAATATAAATTCTGCTCGTTATCCTGTTACCATGAAATTAGTATTTTAATAATGCTTGTGAATGCTCTCTAGAAGGTAGATAGTAAAGAAATATTTGTACCTTAAAAAATTTGATCTAGGTAGAAATAAAAAACTAGAAAAATGCTTTTTCTCCATAGTCTTTTAAGTAATTATTACATATATAATAATATCAAATTACAACATCTACTCTTTTTTGTTGTTGCTGAGGAAGATTCGCCTTCAGCTAACATCTGTTGCCAATCTTCGTCTTGTTTTGCTTGAGGAAGATTAGCCCTGAGCAACATCTGTGCCAGTCTTCCTCTATCTTTTGTATGTGGGATGCCTCTACTGCATGGCTGATGAGTGGAGTAGGTCCGTGCCCGAGATCTGAACCCGTGAACCTGGGCCGCTGAAGCAGAGTGAGTGGAACCTTAACCACTCGGCCACGGGCTAGCCCAGCATCTACTCTTTTTTTAATTGAAGAATAATTAACATAAAATATCTGATTAGTTTCAGGTATATATCATAGTGATTTGGTTTTTGTATACATTATGAAACGATCACCATGATAAGCCTAGTTACCATCTGTCACCATACAAAGTTATTACAATATTATTGACTACATTCCCTCCACTTTATGTTACATCTCCATGACTTCCAGTTATTTATTTTCTAACTGGAAATTTGTACCCTTAATTTCCAACAACATCTACTCTTAACATTTTGGAAACCTATTTAAGAAAAATACCATTAAACCTGATTGAATGTAGAAATTTATGAGAAAAACCATATAGTTATAGTCCGATGTATTATGTTGCATTTGTGGCATTTTTACTGGGCTATTTCACTTAAAATTAATTTTCTTAAATGTTGGTCTGTTTTTTTTTAAAGATTGGCACCTGAGCTAACATCTGTTGCCAGTCTTCTTTTTTGTTTTTTCCTTCTCCTTCTTCTTTTTTCCCAAGTCTGCTGGTACATAGTTGTATGTTCTAGTTGTAAGTGCTTCTGGTTGTGCTGTATGGGATGCCACCTCAACGTGACATGATGAGTGGTGCCGTGTCCGTGCCCAGGATTCGAACGAGCGAAACCCTGGGCCGCCAAAGTGGAGTGCATGAACTTAACCACTCAGCCATGGGGCCCGCACCTGGTCTGTTATTTTTATATTAAGAAACTGTATCCTTTTGCTGCATATTTTAACTTGGTTCAATTTTATGCCTAAAGCTAGTAAATATTGCATTCTTGTCTCATATCTATTTCTAAATTGAGTAACTGGTAAGCCACTTATTGCATTTTTCAGTTTTGACGTTTATTTCAAAAAGCCATAAAGAACTGCCATCCCCAACTTACTTATATTTTTTATTTATTTGGAAGATGGATTTAAATTGTTACTATAATTCATTTTCCTTCTACCAAACTAGAAACTAATATTTATTTAGAAGGTTTTTATTTTTGAAACTTTTATGTGGGTCTTTGTCTGAGATTGTGCTTATCTTTTGTTTTTGAAGGCGCCCAGCTGTTGTTCAGACCACTGTTAAATAAATATGAGAAAGAAACACTAGAAAATCAGAACCTCTATCTCGTTGGTGCCTCCAGGCTTAGACTGTTACTGGGGGCAGAAGCAGTGGGGTTGGTGAAGGAGTGCAACGATAACACCATGAGAGCCTTCACCTACGGCACCCGGCACAACTTCAAAGGGTTTGATGGTGAGTCCCAGGATTGTTTCTCTCAGAGCAGTTTATCCCAAAGAAGTTTTTGATGCATAGATCAGGGGTCAGCGGACTTTTTCAGTAAAGAGCCAGATGGTAAATATTTTGGGCTGTGTGGGCCATACCCTCTCTCATAGTATTCAGCAGTGACATTGTACAGCAAAAACAGCCTTAGGCTGTAAGAAATGAACTGTGTAAGAAATGTGTTCCACTAAAATTTTCCTTAAAACACCAGGTGGTGGGCCAGATGTGGCCCCCGGGCCTCACTTTGCCACTCCTGGAATAGAGGAACGTAAATTAGGCTGACACGTGTAATTTATTATATTATTCTCTTCTCATTCTTAGAATGGTGAATGTTCACTAGCTTAATATAGAAATCTTATAATAAGAAATACAGTAGTAGTTCAGTATCGTAGAATCCCCATGTCCTGGTAGGGTAACTCGTTCTGCTCTGGCCCTGTAGTGGGTTCCAGAAGAGAACAGCTTCTGGAAGGAACTGAGGAAGCCAGGTGGCCGTGACAGCAGAGTGGGAGTTTGGCTTCAGGCTCAACCTGGTTCCTTGCTGGGCTGTCAGAGTTAGAAGATGTGGTTAGACTTCTTCAGATTCGCTGACTCTAGATTTTTATATCTTAGAGAATAAATGATCAAGGTGAAATTCATCTCATTAAAGAGGATTCACCTGTCAAAAAACAACACTATTTTCTTGTCAGTCTTTTTCCTCCCTCGTTTGTGAGAGGGATCTTCAAGTCCAGAAGGGAATGGCCTGGGCTTGAGAGTTTGAAGGAGGAGAATTTGCCACACAGGCAAACTTCAGTTCCATCCCTAGTTAAAAATATTGTTAGAATTAAAGAACATATTGCCTTCTGCTCATTGGCATTAAATGACATCAAACAAGTGCCTGCCATTTGGATGTTTGTACCATATTATACAATAACCAGTACCATGAAGAACTGTGTTATGTGAATGCATAATAGAATGTTTTTATTCTTATAAAACATCTAAGGAGCTTTATGTTCTGTTTAATTTACCAGTCTTATACTTTGCTTTCTCCTTATTTTAATTATTTATTGTTTAATCATTATTTTTATAATCCCAGGTTATTTGAATATTGATAATTTTATTTTAGCTATTACTGAGAAAATAACTGGAAATTTTTCTTTTGTTTTAGATGACAATGATGATTTCCTCACAATGGCAGAATGTCAATTCATTATCAAACATGAACTTGAAAATCTCAGAGCCAGAGATGAAAAAATGATCCCTGGTTACCCCCAGGCGAAGCTGTACCCAGGAAAATCATTATGTGAGTCAGTATGTCAGCCAGCTTCGTGAACACACATTCTAGTGCAATGACTTTGTCTTAGTAGACATAAATAACAAATTATAGAGGCTTTATTTTTTTTTTATTACTGAAGAACTTACACAACTTTATAATTTATTTTTTCAGGAATATATATTTTGCCTTTAGATCTATGTATTTGTCCTGTATGGTTCTCTACTTCTTATTTATCAAAGTCTCACAGCATTCAGTTAGCTTAAGATTTAGTGTGAACACGTATACATGTTACTCAGTTAAAACTAGCAAAGTTTACTTTGTGCCCAAACATTGTACCATGATGAAAACCTGTGGAGGAACAAACATGGGAGTCATGGTCTTTTTCTGGAGCATTCTTCCCATGTCCTCTCGTCTCACTGGGCATGAACACATGCCAACATAGAAAGGCTTAAGTAGATTTGCAAAGTGACATAATACCTGAATGCAAATTAGCACTTTGCAACTTTTCGATTTCGAGTAATTCCGTTTGAATGAGATTACTAGTTTGCAGAGTGAAAATGTTGACTCCAACGTGTAATTCAAACTTTGCCTCAGACCAGGTAGTGGCAAGGCCTCAGAGCAGTTTTGCTATCTCAGACACACTTAAAACATGCCAGCTTCTGTGTCTGCTAGTCTGGTTGCCTTTTAATAGTCAATATAATACTACCTTCCACTCTTCACTCAGGAGGACAGATGCCCAGGAACCAGTCCATATTCAAATCTTCCCAGTTGTCACCAAATATGTTTTAGAGCTGATTTGTTCCAACCAAGATCTAGTCAAAGATAGCCCTTTTTGTTTGGTTATTTTTATCTCTTAAGTTTCTCTCTCTCTCTCTTTTTATTGTGATAAAGTACACATAGCATAAAGTTTCCTATCTTAAAGATTTTTAAGTGTACAGTTCAGGGGTATTAAATACATTCGTATGTTGTACAACCATCACTGCCATCCGTCTCCATAGCTCCTTTCATTTTGTCAAACTGAAACTCTATACCCATTAGACAATAACTTCCCCTTCCCCCGGCCCCTGGCAACCACCATTCTACTTTCGATCTTTGTGATTTTGACTACTGTAAGTATGTCAAATAAGTGGAACCATGCAGTATTTCTGTCTTTGTGACTGGCTTATTTCCCTTAGCATAGCGTCCTCAAGGTTATTCTATGTTGTAGCATATGTGAGAATTTCCTTCCTTTTTAAGGCTGAATGATATTCTATTGTATGCATATACCACAGTTTGCTTATTCACTCATCAATCAATGGGCACTTTGGTTGCCTCAACCTTTTGGCTGTTGTGAATAATGCTCCTATGAACTTGAGTATACAAATATACCTATGAGCTTTGAGACTGAGATTTCAGTTTGTTTGGGTGTTTACTTAGAAGTGGAATTGCTGGGTGATATGGTAATTCTATTTTTAAGTTTTTGAGGACCCTCTGTACTGTCTTCCTCAGCGACTGTACCATTTTACATTCCCACCAACAGTGTGCAAGCATTCCAATTTCTCCACATCCTCGCCAGCACTTGTTATTTTCTGATTTCTTCATAGTAGCCCTCCTAATAATGTGAGGTGGTATCTCATTGTGGTTTTGATTTGCATTTCCCTAGTGATCAGTGATGCTGAGCATCTTTTCATAGATTTATTGGCCATTTGTGTATCTTCTTTGGAGGAGTGTTTATCTAAATTCTTTGCCCCTTTTGAATTGGGTGGTTTGTTTTTTGTTGTTGTTTTATTCTTTATGTATTCTGGATATTAATCCATCAAATATATGATTTGCAAATATTTTCTCTTATTCTGTGGGTTGCCTTTTTACTTTGTTGATACTGTCTTTCAATCAAAATTTTAAAATTTTCATGAAGTCCAACTTATCTATTTTTTCTTTTATTGCCTGTGCCTTTGGTGTCATATCCAAGAAATCATTGTCAAATCCAATGTCATGAAGCTTTTCCTCTATGTTTTCTTCTGGGAGTTTTATAGCTTCAGGTCTTCTAATTAGTTCTTCAATCCATTTTGAGTTAATTTTTGTATATGGTGTGAAGTAAGCATCCAACTTTATTCTTTTGCATGTGGATGTCCAGTTTTCCCAGCACCGTTTGTTGAAAAGACTGTTCTTTCCCCATTGAATAGCCTTGGTAGCCTCGTCAAAAATCATTTGACCGTGTATGCAAGGATTTGTTTCTGGGTTCTCTATTCTATTCCATTGGTCTGTATGTCTGCCTGTATGTCACTAGCACACTGTTTTGATTACTGTGCTTTGTGGTAAGTTTTGAAATCAGGAAGTTTTGTTCCTCTTTTTCAAGATTGTTTTGGCTATTTAAAGTTCCATGGAATTACATATGAATTTTAGGATTGGTTTTCTGTTTCTGCAAAAGACATTCTTGGGATTTTGATAGGGATCGCTTTGAATCTGTAGATCGCTTTGGGTAGTATTGACATCTTAATATTAAGTTCCATGAATTTAGGGTGTGTTTTCATTTATTTATATTCTCTTTAATTTCTTTTAGCAATGCTTTGTTGTTTTCATTATACAAGTCTTTTCTCCCTTAGTATTTTATTCTTTATGATGCTGTTGTAAATGGAATTGTTTTCATAATTACTTTTTCAGATAGTTTATTGTTAGTGTATAGAAATGCAACTGATTTTTGTATGTTGACTCTATATCCTGCTACTTTGCTGAATTCATTTATTATCTCTGACAGTTTTTTTGTATAAAATTAAGTTTTCTACGTATAACATAATGTCATCTATGAACAGAGATAATTTTACTTCTTCCTCTCCTATTTGGATGCCTTTTATTTCTTTTTCTTGCCTAATTGCTCAGGCTAGAACTTTCAGTACTATGTTGAATAGAAGTGGTGAAAGTGGGCATATTTGTCTTATTCCTGATAGTAGAGGAAAAGGTTTCATACTTTCACCATTCAATATGATGTTTGCTGTGGGCTTTTCATAGATGGATTTTATTATGTTGAGGTAGTTTCCTTTTATTCCTAGTTTGTTGGGTGTTTTTATTATGAAAGAGTGTTGAATTTTGTCAGATGCTTTTCCTATATCAGTTGAGATGGTCATGTGTTTTTTTCCCTTCATTCTGTTCATATGGTGCATTGCAGGCATACCTCAGAGATGTTGCAGTTTTGGTTCCAGACTACTGCAATAAAGCAAATATTGCAATAAAGCAAGTCACATGAATTTTTTGGTTTGCCACTGCGTATAAAAGTTATCTTTACACTATCCTATAGTCTGTTAAGTGTGCAGAGCATTATGACTAAAAAAAAGTACATACTTTAATTAAAAAAATACTTTATTGCTAAAAATTTATTGCTAAAAAATGCTAATCATTATCTGAGCCTTCAGTGAGTCAGTCTTTTCGCTGGTGGAAGGTCTTGTAAAAAAGCAATATCTGCAAAGCACATAAAGGGAAGCACAATAAAATGAGGTATGCTTGTTCATAGATGGATGTTCATATGCTGAACTATCCTTGCATTCTAGGAGTAAATCCCATTGTCATAGTGTGTGATTCTTTTAATATGTTGCTATATTCAATTTGCTACTGTTTTGTTGAGTATTTTTGCATTAATCTTCATAAGGGATGTTGGTCTGTACTTTTTTTGTAGTGTTTTTGTCTGACTTTGTATCAGAGTAATGTCATATCCAAGTAGAATGTCATATCCAAGTAGGAATGTCATATCCTTGTAGAATGAGTTAATAAGTGTTCCTTTCTCTTCAGTTAGGAAAAATTTGAGAAAGATTGGTATTAGTTCTTCTTTAAGTATTTGTTAAAATTCACCAGTGAAGGCATCAGGTTCAGGGTTTTTCTTTGTCAGGAGATTTTTGGTTGCTGTTTCAATCTCTTTACTAATTATGGGTCTATTCATATTTTCTATGTCTTCTTGATTTGTCTTGGTAGGTTTTGTGTTTTTATGAATTTGTCCATTTCATCTAGGTTATCCAATTTGTTGGTGTACAATTGTTTATGGTAATCTTTTATAACCATTTTATTTACGCAGAATTAGTAGTAATGTCCCTCTTTGCATTTCTGATCTTAATAATTTGTCTTCTCTCTTTTTTCTTAGTTCATCTATGTAAAGATTTGTCAATTTTGTTCATCTTTTGAAAGAACCAACTTTTGGTTTCTTTAATTTTCTCTATTGTCTTTCGGTTCTCTATTTTGTTTATCTCTTCTCTAATCTTTATTATTTCTTTCATTATGCTAGCTTTGGATTTAGTTTGTTCTTCTTTTTCTAGTTCCTTAATTGTAAAGTTAGGTTGTTCTTTTGAGGTCTTTTTTGTTTTTCAATATAAGCATTTATAGCTATGAATTTCCCTCTTAGCACTGCTTTCTCTGTGTCCCCTAAGTTTTGGTATGTTGTGTTTTTGTTTTCATTCATCTCTAAGTATTTTCTAATTTCCCCTGTGATTTCTTCTTTGATTCATTGTTTTTTTAAGATTGTATTGTTAATTTCCACACATTTATGAATTTTCCAGTTTTCCTTGTGTTATTGATGTTTAACTTCATCCTGTTGTGGTCAGAGGATACTTTTTATGATTCATATATTTTTAAATCTTTTGAGACTTGTGTCCTAACATATGATCTATCCTGGCAAATGTCCTATGTGCACCTGAGAAGAATGTGTTTTTGGTTCTCTATTGTCTAACTTAGATGTAAACTGGACTTTTAGTCTCCTCTGTCTGTGCATTATGCTGTAGACATATGGATGTTTTTACGTGCTCTACTTGTTGATCTGTATGGCTTTTAGGAGCTGTCAAGAAATTTGAATGTAGTATTCATTGTTCTTGTTTGTCAACATTTCCAGTTATCTGTTTATGTCTTTTTTTTTTTGAGGAAGATTAGCCCTGAGCTAACTACTGCCAATCCTCCTCCTTTTGCTGAGGAAGACTGGCCCTGAGCTAACATCGGTGCCCATCTTCCTCTACTTTCTATGTGGGACACCTACCACAGCATGGCTTGCCAAGCAGTGCCATGTCTGCACCCAG